ACAACGACGAGACGACACATATAATTAAATAACTAATAAGTAAAATAACTATACTATACTATATATATATATATATATATATATATATATATATATAGCACTTGAAACATACTCACGTAGAATATCAGCGAAGCAGCCTCACTCTGTGCATAAGAAATTCTGGTGCTGGCAATAGGAGCATCACATTCGCACGTCTCGATGCAAAGGCCACAGTACAACACAACAAAAAAACACGCGTATAAGCCCCCTTCGTACCACCACACACATACACGCTTGCCTCCCAAACCCCCACGCCCACCACACACACACACACATAACATACACACACACATAACATACACACACAGTCTCCCACTTGTTGTGTTCACAACTTACTGACAAGACGTGTATGTACGCACTCGTACCACTACACCACTCACCGAGATAGAACGTCAGGGAGGCCATCAGTTGGGCACACAACGAATTCGGTCCCAAAGTTCGGAACATTACCGATCGCGAGCACGTGATGACCACGTGCCTATCTAACAGCAGCAGGTTGGTATACCGTCGCGTGGGCAGTTGGGACTGCAAGTCAATGAGATACTCCAGCACCCTCTCGCAGAAGTGAATGGTGTGTGAGTGCTTGCTGGTGGGTGCGTGTGTGGTGTGTGTGAGCAGGTCTTGCTGCGCTTGTGCGGGTGAGAACGTGCGGACGGTGTCTAGGAAGCGTTGGACCAGGCGTGGAATGAAGGAGAGATGCTCCATTCGCTTGGCTTTGGCTGTATCGTCAAGTTTCTTTAACCTGTAGGAACAAGAAAGGTATGGTATATGTATACATATCACTTAGTATATTCATATGTGAGTGTATTGGCTTGTATTCTTAGTATGTAACCGCATTTAGCTTGAGCTGTGGTAACAAGAAAGGTATATATACATATATATATATAAATATATATATATATATATATATATATATATATATGTATATATATAGATATATAGATATATATATGTATATATATATTGACATACAAACTCTCTCACACACACACACTCTCTCTCTCTCACACACACACACTCATATATACTTATGAGCTCATACATATATGCATATATATATATTTATATATATATATATATAATATAATATAATATATATATATATATATATATATATATATATGTGTGTGTGTGTGTGTTGTGTGTATATATATACAAGCACGCATACACACACGCTCGCGCGTGCACACACACAATCACGCACATACACACACACACACGCACACAGACACACACACACGCACACAGACACACACACAGACACATCCACACACACATATGTATATACATACATAGACACACACACACACACATTGACATCACACACACACAAACACCTACCTTTATATCCGCATGTTCAATCTACACTTCGATAGGACACAATTTACTGTCGTTATACTCTCACTAAATTTGACAGGCATTCTTCTCAGATCGTGTGTCTCATCCCTGTAGCAATAAAAAAAAGTATCGTTAGATACAGCACAGAACATGATATTAAGTGCTGAAGCTGTGTGTATTTCTTGGACTTTAGGGTTTAGGGGTTTTTATTTTTGTTTTAGGGTTTTAGGTTGTCAGTTGGCACACTCGCCGGCATTTTGAACCTGATAAAAATAAACAAAAATCACTTTATTATTTTGCGTCATAAAAAAAATACAGCACTGGAAAGTCACTAAATGTACATAAAAAAGTCTCTATAAATGTACTTTTAATTCTTTTGTTTGAAAAGTCTGAGAAATGAATTGAAATCACATTTAGCGATTTTAATTGGGCAATTAGAAAACGTACCCGAAAATATGTATGTACATTTAGTGACTTTCCCATGTAGGCCATGTACATTTAGAGTATTTCCTCAAGTTTCTATGTCACACATAAGTGTTACACGATGAGATTGGCAAGATATTTGACAACCAGGATCTAGTAACGCATTGACCTTTATTTCGTTAACGAAAAGTGGTAATATAATACGTTCATCGTCTTTAGAATATATCCTCTTGACCGTCACCACGTGGTATCAATGCTGAGTTGTCTCCTTGGAATCGTCCTTTGAAGGCCTCTTCTTGATTTGAACAAGAAGTCGTATGCATACCATGCGTTTTCTTGCATATTGTACACTCAAGTGCATGCTTACAAGAATCTTTATGTTTCCCATAAAAAATATGTTTAGGCATGTTTTGATGCAAGACACTATCACATTCAACACACAACACATTTTTAGTTGTAAAACTTTTCTGCTGTTGTTGATATTGAGTGTGTTGGTCCTTTGGAGTTGTTGTCTTGGTTGTGTTCGCTCACGAACAGCTACCGCATACGTACCTTTATCTTGTTTAGTGCTACCACTAGTTTTAGACGTATTCGTATGAGTCTCTGAAGACTTCTTTGTTTGCTGCATTAAGCGGTTCTGTGTCCATTCTTCGACTGTAAAAGCCTTAACGAACATATCCCACGTAAAATCAGTCAAGTTTGCTGACAGCTTTTCAGTTTTAATGTTTAACCACTTAAAACCTTTTTGTCGTGATGTTCTATTCATTATATTAGAAATCAAGTGCATAAACAGTATTTCTAATTTTCTGCGTTGGCCCTCGGCCCAGCTTTGCTTACAAAGCTGTTTTAAACGATTGTCAAAAGCTAGTACAAAGTGTAGTCAGGAAGTCCCTGATAGGGTTTATTTAGGATTAGGGTTTATTTGATGTTTGGGTTTTTATTAGAGACTACATTTTGAATCGGGTTTATCCAATCAGGTTTAAACTGATCAACGGAAAACACATGACAAAATGATAGTCACAGTATTTAGTTTAATAAATGAACAACGTCTCCCCTTGTACGAGGGGAGTATGTTGAGATACAATTATCCTCGACTACTTATTACATTTTTAACTGACTTAGATGTTGTACATTAATTGAACTTATCCTAAATAGGAAAAGAAGATATTAGGACCGAGAGGTTCCTATATAGAAGTAGAAAAAAATTCATGACAAAGAAGAGATAAAAGTTCTAGGCATCAGTAGACATCAGTAGTTGAAATGACGGTTCCCGACACGAACCAGCCATTGTTAGATGACACGGATAGTGTATTTATTAGTAGAAGTTTACAAAGAAATAACATCCGCACGTAGATGCATAAGTAAGGTACATGCAATAACAGTCATATAGCAAGTTCTTGTACATAAGATAGAGAATACAAAACACAATAGTTGTGAAACAACGGTATAGAGAACGATAGGGTGTGTGTATACAGTACTATATTGGGTACACGAGAGAGTGAGCAATGTAAATGTGCATATGAATGGTCCGAACAAATTCCTCAATGTCAATATGAGTACGAATAACCCATATGAGTTGCTGTAGACAATTGTTCGTGTGATGACGAGCAGTACCAAGACACAGCAACGACGGGGATACAATGCAAAGTTAGCCAACTAGATAGGGTCGGAGCCGGAAGTGGAACGAGTGAACGTCGGTAGCGAAAAGACATGTGCACGGAGCGATAGAACAAGAACATGAGGAGTAAGAACCCAGAGTAAAGAGCAACCGCAATGATAACCGGGGTAGTTTGGGGCAAGAAGTTGTGAGAGAACCATGTCATTGCAACAAGACCCAGGCAGGGAAGCAAGTACATATTGATGAGATAATGGTTAACATGGCTTCAAGTAATTAGTAGGCGTGAGATTCGCAGATGAATGTCTATTTATGTCAAAGGAGGAGCGGTTGAAACATTACATTGCTACCAATAGACAAGCAAAAGTTTACTTCTACGATGGCTAACATTCGACAGAGTCGTCGGCAACAACAGCTATCACCAGAACAACGTAAACGGAACGATATCCATCAACTACGTTTTCGACGACGTACTCAGGAACGCTTACATACGGGTGGAGAACTGTCGGACGACTTACAGTCAGAACATCGAACTAACCGAACAATACTTCAGTGGACGCTAACGGCACAATAGCAACGCAATGGGCGGATAACCACCCCGAGTGACGTGGACTTCACGGATCGTAAACGATGTACCCCCGAACTAATGAGAACGGCACATTCGACGTCGCAGTCTCACCACCAGGAGGTGACAGCTCCTCGAGAGGCATCACGAGCTGTCGCAAGTAAGCACCCTCGTCATCATGCCAAAGGGAGACAACATAGCCGAAGTAGAGACAACGACACGCCAGAACAGTTAACGAACCTACTCCGACGACAGCAATCGCTATTAGAGAAATATGAACGGCGTTTGCAACGACTACGAAGAGCGAACACACCTTCATCACCGAACAACCTCGAGTTCCGCATTAGAGGAGCCGACGATGCCCGTCAAAGGTTAGGGTATCGATGGTGATACACAGCAGGAGACGATGTCACCTCAAAGCTTTGCAAAGGAACAATGTAGGGCTACACAGAACCCTCACGGGAGGGAGGCACTTGACAATCGTCGTGACAACATGGACATGTCTTGACAAGTACAACGTCATGGCCAACAATTTGTACGAGAAGCGATGGATGACAGTCTACCGTCACGCAGGCTGCTTGAACGCATACCGTCGAGTCAAGCCGCGTCATCTGAGAAGCGTCAGCGCTTGGCTCAGCTGGCCACACCTCCTACACCAGACAGCATAGCGGCGGACCGCCAAGCATTGCACGTACTTTATGCTCAATCTGTCTGAGGAATTATGTAGTGCAGTGGAAGCGAACAACTTGTCACGAGCGGAGGCACTAAGGGGTGTACTCGAGACATTAAGAGCAACCCACGATTCCCGACCAGCGAACAAACAGGAACCGCGGGAACCACGTAGTTGGCCGGAGTGGCCCTCGAACCGGTACAACCTCAGCAACATGATGGAGCGCGACACTAAAGAGGCATTGCGAGAAGCCCTTAAGAATGCGCAGATCTCGGGTCTAGATGAAGCATGGAGTCTTCGTTGGTTTTACAAGGTGTTAAGCCATTTTAAAGCCGAGCAATCTACGCTCGATTATAAAAAATCTAATCACCAACGTTTAGTTGCATGGACACCTGAACTACAGATAACACAAATCTGTTCACACGAGACACAGGCCACAGTGGATACAACATTTCAGAAATTGGCCAATGGACACCTCAAGCTTAGTAATGCCCCAGTGATGGAACAAATGACTTTCCTGATGGAGAATCATCGCCGTGCACATGAGCGTTGTCAGACTGAGGCCGATATTAAGCAGAACTTGCTTAACCATTGTATAGTGCAGTTGTTGGAAGATACCTTGGGATCCCGTACATATGAGCGCACGTTGCAGTTACACCCGAAGTGGCAGCTCATGGAGACACATGAATTACTACAGTTGTTAAGTCCTGATATCCAAGAGGCTCAGATTCGTTCGACTCAACGGTTGGTCAACCATCGAGATCACAATGGGGACACAGACCGGGGGGAGACAACGAATAGTAGACCTAGCCCGCACATAGTACAGCGTCAGTAACAACAATGGCAACAGTGCCCGACGCCAATAACTAATCCAACGACGTGCAACGGTTGCCGGGCACAAGGCACCACCAGGAACGCGACACATACCGCGCTGCCATCATTACCGGGCGGCTCAACCCGGGGGACAGGACGTTAGAACACGGACGTCCGACAATGGTCAGCAACATAGAGATGTTCCAACAGGACAGCGTTCTACACCGTCACAGGGGCCCGGACACCAACACCAATCCAACGACGTGCAACGGTTGCTGGGCACAGGCACCACCAGGACCGCGACACATACCGCGCTGCCATAATTACCGGGCGGCTCAACCCGGGGGACAGGACGTTAGAACACGGACGTCCGACAATGGTCAGCAACATAGAGATGTTCCAACAGGACAGCGTTCTACACCGTCACAGGGGCCCGGACACCAACCACAATATTATTCAAGCCGACAGACGACCTCTACTACGACGACACCTCAGATTAATGCACTCACACAAGATGACGGACCGGGTCAGGACAGCCAGTCAGCCACAGAGATATATACACATTCCATTCTGACCAACGTGAGAATTTTTCAACTCTGTGAAAGTACTCTTTATTTCCTTTTGTACTCTGTATTTATACTATTTTTCGTCAAAATTGAACGGCCCTTTCGGCTCGAAAATTTCTTTTGCCAAAGAAATTCCAACGGACGTGCGCGGTCTATTTTTAGATTCCATCTCTAAAAATACAAACACAATTTCTTCAAATACACTTAAACTTCTAAGACTCATAACTCAATGAATATTCACTCAAACAACTTGAATAAGGTGTCATATGAAAGGAAAAAGCATTTCCTATCAAATGACACCTGTAACAAAATTACACATTTAATAGGTCAAACACAATCGGCCTACGAAACACATTCGTAAACACAACATACAAAAACATACTTAGATAAGTGGTTCCTCGATGGACTAGGTCTGAGTCCAACACTTAAACATCATTCACCTTTGACAATATGATTTTTCTACACTCCCCCATGGACGCAAGACATAGTCATT